AGATGTACAAAGTTGATTTAACATTTGAAAATTAGTCAGTATAATTCACCATATCTAAAGGAGAAAAGCTAGGTGATCATTTTATTAGATGCAAAAAAAGCATCTCACATAATTCACATTTATGAGAAAAACTCTTAGCAAATCAGGAATAGAAGGGAATTTCTTCATCTGGTAAAGACCTTCTATGAAAAATCTATTGCTAATATCATACTTAATGGCAAAATATTGAAGGCATCCTTCTATATTAGTAATATGGCAAGATGTCCACTTTTGCCATTTGTATTCACTTTATACTAGAGGTTGTCCCAAGCTGTACAATAAAGCAAGGGCTGGGGAGTAGGAGAGAAAAGGCATACAGATTGAAAAGGAAGAAATCAAATGTCTTTAGTCTTAGATGACATGATCTGGTTAATAGGAAATCCTAAATCCTAGAGCCAGAATAGCTACAAGAACATATAAGTATACCTAGGAAGGCTACATGGTCAATATTCTAAAATCTATGGCATTTTAATATCCTAACAGTAAATAATTTAAAAATGAAATTTAAATTTTGTTTATGGTAGCATTTGAAAATATGAAGTTCTCAGGGATAAATTTTACAAACTATGTTCAATACCTACAGTAAAAGCTTACTAAATATTACTGAAAGAAATGAAAGAAGCCCTAAATAAGTTGGGGAGATATGTGATGTGTATGGATTAGAAGACTTAATAATGCAAAAAAAAAGTTCATTCTCTCCAAATTGATCTAAAAATCTGGTGTAATCCCAGTCATTATTCCAGTAGATTTTGGTTTTTTTTTTTTTTTTGTAGAAATTGACTTAAAAAATTTTTTTTGTGTGTGTGGAAATAGAAAGGACTTAGACTATCCAAAGTAATCTTGAAGAAGACTTAGGGTACCTGACTAAAGAAATACTATAATACTATAGTAAGCAAAACCGTGGCAAGTTGATCAGTGGAACAGAATAAAGAGTCTAGAAATAGGCCTATATTTATATGGTCATTTGACTTTAATCAAAGGGCCCAAAGTCCAATGGGGAAAGGAAACTTTTTATTTTGGAGATGATTTTATTCAGGCTATTGCAATAGGAGAAACGTTCCTTGTTTTTTTGTTTTGTTTTGTTTTGCTTTTTGGTTTTGTTTTTTTGTTTTTTGGTTTTTTTTTAGAGAGAGTGGGGGCAGGGGAGGGGCAGAGGGAGAGGGAATCTTAAGCAGTCTCCACGCCCAGCATGGGGCGTGGAGCCCAACACAGGGCTCAATCTCACGGCCCTGAGATCATGACCTGAGCCAAAATCAAGAGTCGGAGGCTTAACTGACTGAGCCACCAAGGCGCCCTGAAAGGAAACTCTTTTTAACAAGTAGGGCTGGAACTGGATATCATGCTTTTTGACTTTTTTTTCAAAGATTTTATTTATTTATTTGACAGAGAGAGAGAGACAGCAAGAGAGGAAACACAAGCAGGGGGAGTGGGAGAGGGAGAAGCAGGCTTCCCACAGAGCAGGGAGCCCAACGCGGGACTTGATCCCAGGACCCTGGGATCATGACCTGAGCCGAAGGCAGACGCTTAGCGACTGAGCCACACAGGCGTCCCGATATCATGCTTTTAAAAATGAACCTCAACCCGTATCTCCCAGAAAAATTAGAGATGATTCATAGTCATAAACATAAAAGCTATTACTATAAAACTTCTTGGGGAAAATCTAGGAAAATATCTTTGTGATTTGGGGCTTGGCAAAAGTTTTTAGACATGACACAGAAAGCAATACCCAAAAAGGAAAAAATGATAAGCTAGATTTCCTCAAAATTAAAAACTTTTGCTTATCATCACATACTGTTAAGAAAGTGACTAGGCAAGCCATAGACTGAGTGAAGATACTCATCAAACAAAGGACCGGTGTCTAGGAAATATAATGAGCTCCTACAACTGAAGAATTAGAAGACAATAGATCAGCCCTTTTACAAATGGGTGAAATATTTGAACAGACACTAACTACCAAAAGAAGGTGTGTGAGTAGCCAATACGCTCGTGAACATGGGCTTAACAACATTAGTTACCAGAGATTTGCAAATTAAAATCATGAAATACCACTAAACATCCAGCAGAATGGCTAAAATGATATCATCATGTTGTACACTTTAAATGCCTTACAATTTTATTTGTCAGTTATAGCTCAGTAAAGCTGGGGAAAAAGCCGAAGTGACCGACAGCATCAAATGGTGAGGATGTGGAGCTAATGGAACTCTGATAAGTTGTCATTGGCAGCATGACCTTGTACAGGCACTTGAGAAGGAGTCTGCCAGTTTGTTAGCCTAGAAAGCTCCATGCTGAGATCTTCACCCAGAAGGAATGAAAAACATAACCACAAAACGACTTGTACAAAAATGTTCATAGCAGCTTTATTCATAATATTCCCAAACTGGAAACAACCTAGGGGGTGCAACAACCAGAAAGTAGGTAAACTGTGGATTATTCATAGAGTGGACTAATCCTCAGCAATAAAAAGGCATAAATACAGATACACATAACATGCATGAATCTCAAAAACATGCAGAATGAAAGGAGATTTACACACAAGAGTTCATACTGAATAATTCCATTTTTATGAAGTTCTAGAACAGACAAACCTAATATGTGATGAAAAAATTTAAGACAGTGGTCTCCTTTAGGAGGGTGAGGGAGGGATTGACTGGGAAGGGGCATGAGAACTTTCTGAGGAGGTAGTAACATTAGAGTTCAGGTTATATAGTTTTAGGCATTTGTCAAAACTCATCAATGGGCATTTAATATTTGGGTATTTCAGTATATGTAGTGTTTAGCTCACCAAAAAACAAACAAAACAAAAAACCAAAACACCAAAAACCCTATTAAACAAATACTGAACTTTAGCGACTTAATGATTTGCATGTTAAAGCATTTAGGAGTAAAGTGCACTGACCTCTGTGTATAACTTTGAAATGCTTTAAAAATTAGATGGATTGATGGATGAATAGAAGAAGGGATGGTGGGACATATGTGCTGAAAGAAATATAGCAATATATTCTTTGCAGAAACTAGGCTGTGGTGTACATGGACATCTGTTGTACAATTCTTAAAACTTTTCTGTTTGTGTAAATATTTTCATAATAAAAAGTTGGAGAAATAAAATGAGGTAAATGTAGCTAAAAGGTATTGCAACTTATTTATAAGCAATTCAGTTGTTTATTCAAAAATATTTCTAATATGTCAGCCGTGTGCTGGGCAGTCTCATGGGCATCTCTGACCCAGTGGTCGACAAGACAAGCATGGTCGTTATAATTCTGTTTATCAGAAGTGTTTATCACACTTTCTTCATTATTCCCTACCTCCATTCCTTGTACTACTTGAATTTATTGCTCTATTCAGTGTTTCTTAGAAGCTCACAATTGTTATTTTAAAATATTAGATTTGTTTCATTTTCTTTATTATTTAACTGGCTAAAAATCTATTTTCACAACTATGTGCGTGCGGCGGGGGGCGGTGCAGTGTTCATTTATTGGGGCAATGGTAAGCTGGGTTTGAAGTATTTTTAAAGTTTATTAATTTCCTTCTGGTTTCTGCTCCCACGTGTCAGGACCATCCCTATTCTTGGCCCGATTTCCTGCTCTGGAAAGAAAGTTTCTAGAAGATTTACTGTCCAGTTTATCCACTCAGAAATCCCTAAAACTCCTACATAGACCAAAAGACACAGCCTTTCCATCACTGTCAGAGATTGAAAACTCCCAGAGAAATGAGGATGATTCCTTGACCTCAAAGGGAATACACTTTGAGTTCTAGGGAGTTCAGTTTTCTGAGAGAATTCATAGTCAACCAGTTAGATCTTGAGTTCTGAGTATACGGGCAGTCAGCTGCCTGCTTTCAGATACTGACATGGATACTTCTTTTCTGACCCAGTGACCAAGAGCCCTCTCTCTCTTTGCTGACCTAGTTACCTCTGCCTGCGTGGTACTTTGCCCGATCCTTGTTTGGATTGGGCCTGATACCAGTCACTTCCCTAACTTATGATTTATCTTACTTTAATGCCTAATGTAGCTGCTGCCATCCCCTTCCCATCCCACTTCCCATTCACGGCCTGATTGAACATGGCTTTGTCCAACATCTGCTGCCTTCCCTTGTCTGTGCCTCTGACTCTAACTTCTGACCTGTACTCAACATCTGGAGAGGCCCTACCACCTCCCCCCATATCCCCCTGTAACTAAGTAGACGCTAAGGGAGGAGTTGGAATGCTTGAGACTCTGTGCCTTGGTAACATTCCTGAGACACTTCCCGTGTAAGTCCTAGCTCTGTGCTACCGTATTCACAGGTATCAGCCATCCCTCCCCTTGTCTCAACCTCTGCTAAATCTGTATTTGTTAAATATTGTATACATTAGAAGAATATTTGTATAAGTCTGAGTAAATTATAATGAATAACAATAAAACAAACACCTGTAGCCACTACCCAGCTTAAGAATTAAAGTGTTATGGGTTAGCCTGGTGATGGGTATTAAAGAGGGCACGTTCTGCATGGAGCACTAGTGTTATGCACAAACAATGAATCATGGAACACTACATCGAAAACTAATGATGTAATGTATGGTGATTAACATAACAATAAATAAAATTTAAAGGGAAAAAAAATTCCCTTAAAAAAAGAAAAAAGAATTAAAGTGTTACCAGTGTCTCCCAGTCCTCCTTAGGTATGAGGTATTGGGTGGCACTTTATGGGCTCTGCAGTAAACAGCCAGTATGACTGAATACTTAAAAACACTTAAACACTGTCTTCAGATATATTTTCGTTGAGAACATTTAACAAATTCAGACAGGCCATTAGTGAAGTTTTAACGCAGGTTCCAGTATTCCCATTTATCTGTCGAAGCTTTTAGAATTCACTAGAGGTACCCTGTCCAGCCTGTTGTTGGTTACAGAATTCTGTCAAGCCGAGCCTTGGCATAAAGGGGAGAACTTTCTGAAGGCTGTAGCTACCATATTGTTTTTTTCCCATAGACTAGCTGCTGACGGAGCACCAGAACTAAAAGTAGAGAGTATGAATTCAAAGGCCAAGCTGCATGCTGCTCTCTATGAGAGGAAGCTCCTGTCTTTGGAGGTGCGGAAACGTCGACGACGCAGCAGCAGATTGAGGGCAATGAGGCCAAAATACCCAGGTACCTGCTGGTGAGCTTACGCCAAACTCCATTGTCCGGGTCTTGCCAGTCTGAGTTAATCGGCTTCCTTAATTATACTTAATGAATCAGAACCTTCCCGATCACATACACTTAATTTTTTTGTATAGTCTTTTTCTTGGAAACTTAATTTCAAAAGGATTATATGTTTTTAAACCTTCCATTCTGTCATATTTGTACTGAAGAATAACTGAAGCATATACGTTTGGCTTTTGCTCTCCTTTCAGCATCATATAACTGGCTGATACTCTAGATACTGATATTTCTAGATACTCTAGAAATACTTGAGGTATAAAGATATATAAATATAAAGAAATACTTCAGCTTAAGTTTAATGGAATCCCGAGCGTGATTGTTCAGCTTCTTCATGATTAGGTGTTAAATCTAGTTCATCCCTTGACATTGCTAAATGGTAGAAATATTTTAACCATGAGCAGACAAGGAGAAATTTCTTTCTCTCCCGGATTCTTCCATTTTTAGGTCTGTTTGTCACTGATGACTGACTGCCTTTTCCGCCCCTCCTTCCCTCCTTTGTTGAGCACCTGTATCAGGCACGTTAGTCACTAGGGTTTTCATCGGTGAATAAAAAAGATAAGGCCTTTGTCCTCACATACCTTCCAAGTCAGTGAAAGAGAAAGATAATGAATAAATGTAGGATAGAAAGATACTCCCCTGCCCTTTGTACCTCCATAAAAGGTGCCCTTCTAAAAACCTCTAACACATTGTAGAGATTACCCAGATGTTTGCCTGGAGTTGTGAGAGAGCCATCGGTATTATGCTGAGAAACATGAACTCTAATGAAGACGGGTTTTTAGAATGCATGAGACTGGAGAATAATGTGTATGCTGTTTATTTTGTGCCTTTTTTGTGGTCTGACTTAGAGATGGGTTTTTACCAAAAAGATGAAAGGAAGGTATTGGGAGAGAGGGAAATTTAATCCTTTTTTCAGCAACATTAGTGATTCTTCGCATTTAGTGATCACTCAGCCAGCTGAAATGAATGTTAAAACTGAGACAGAGAGTGAAGAGGAGGAAGAAGTCTCATTAGACAATGAAGATGAAGAACAGGAGGCTTCCCAGGAGGAATCTGCAGGGTCCCTTGGAGAAAATCAAGCCAAATACACCCCCTCATTGACTGTTATGGTAGAAAATTCACCCAAAGAAAATGCCATGAAAGTTAATGAATGGAATAATAAAGGTGAACAGTGCTGCAAAATTGAGACTCAAGAGCCAGAGCCTAAATTTAACCTGATGCAGATTCTGCAAGATAACGGCAATCTTAGGTATGTACCTTTGGTAATTATGATAGTAAAAGTGATAACTAATACTGTGTACCAGGTACTGTGCTGGTGGCTTTGCAGCCATTTTCCTATTCTTACAGCAGCCCTGGGAGGTAATGACTTGTGATTTTATTATTGTTACTATTAAGGAAACTGAGCCTTAGAGAAGTTGCTTGTCCAAGGTGTAGCGCTAGGATCCAAACCCACGTCTCACTGGTTTGAGTGTCACTCACTGAAGGCGCAGAGTTCAAGTGGCTCATGGTTTAGTGTAGGGATACTTACTGAGTAGGAGGGGCCCCAATATGGACAAAGTGCTCTTAGGGCAGAGAGAAAGGAGTGACTGGTCTTGCCTGGGAAGGCTAGAGGGACATTAGGGAGGTGGTAATATTTGAACCAGGCTTTGGCTGATGAGCAGGATGTCAGGAGGGCTGAGAGGTGGCAGCTGTGTGGGAGGACCAGGAGAGGAAATAAAGGCAGAGAGGTGTGATGGTCCAGTCAAGTCATTCAGCCCCTCAGCAGAGGCTTATTGAGCACCTGCTTTGTGCAGGCATTGTGCTAGGCTGGATAGTTACATGGAGAGAGGAATGCAGTGAGAGATAAGACCAAAAAAAAAAAAAAAAAATGGATGTCATTTGATCATAAAGCACTCTAAGAGGAGCTGGGACTGTATTTTCTAGATGGATAATTTTTAAGCCGATGAATGATATGGTCAGATCTTGATTTAGAAGGTAAATTCTGGGTGCACTGTGGGTCAGTGATTAAGAGGAGAATGAAAGGCAGAAAGGTGAGTTAGGGGTTGTCACAGTAGTCCAGAGCCAGGAAGATGAGGCCTTGACCAGAGCGATGGCTACCGGAATGGAGAGAATGGGATGGACTGAATGCAATTTGCAAGTTAAAATGGGGAGGGCTTGGTCTCTGTAGATGTAAGAACTCCAGAGAGTCTGGATTTCCCAAACTTAGCAACTTGGCAATGCCGTCAGTCAATATAAGGAGCATAGGAGTTGGTTTCAGGATAGAAGTATGTTTCATTTGGGACACAGTGAGGCGGAAGGGCTCTGGGATGAAGTTGTTCAGTGGATAGGTGAAGATACACCTTTGAAGGTCAGAGTTGAACAGAATTGGGCAGTTGATAATTAGGAACTTCAGAGTGCGTGAGCTTGTCCAGTTCACTTTAGTCCAGCAAGCACAGACAGGAGAAAGGAGGAGAATTGAGCCCTGGGGAAAACTGGTGTTTAATAGTAAAGAGATAGGAACTAGCAGTTAGAGAGGGAGGCATCAGCCTAGGAGGACGGAGTGTGGTAGAAGCTCCAGAATGAGAGTTCCAAGCTGTAGTGTGCCTCAGACAACCCGAGAGAGCACGAAGAGTAAAAAGAGACTCCCGCATTTCTGACCTAGGGCCAACTTGTGACTTGTGAGAAATTGTGAGTTGTGCAAATAAGAAAGCCAAGTGCAGGCCAACTTTTTCAGAGGATTTGGCAATGAAAGGCAGGTGAGAACACATAGTGAGAGCAAGCTAAGAGAAAAGGATTTTTTTTTTTTTTTTAAAGATGGGGATTCTGGAGCTTATTTATAGACTAGGGGAAGGGTTTGGTGGAAAGAGGATTAGGGGCACCTGGGTGGCTCAGTCGGTTAAGCATCCGACTCTTGATTTTGGCTCAGGTCATGATCTCAGGGTTGTGAGATTGAGCCCTGCATCAGCTCCCCACTCAGAGCACAGTCTGCTTGAGATTCTGTCTTTCCCTCCACCCTCCCTCTGCTCATGCTCTCTCTCTAAATAAATAAAATCATAAAAAAAAAAAGGAAAGAGGATTAGAGATGCAGAGATGGATATATTGATAGAAAGGGCCCTAAAGGAAGGTGGAAAGAGGCCACTGGAAGGGTATCTCTTACTATAAGTCAGAAAGAAAGCACTATGGGATGAATGCAGTAGTTAGAAGTGAAAGGGGAAGGAAGGCTAGGTATTTATGCATTTTGGCCTTTATTTTCTAAGAGGTCAGTTCTTATATTGCAAGGGCGGTGGGTAACATTGGGGGTTTGGGGGAGGGGGGAGATCAAGTTAAGGTTTGGAACAGCGTCATGGGGAATAGCAGTAGTTCTGTTGAGTGGAGAGCACACCAAACTGTCCGAAGACCTGGACTCTTGCTTTTAGGGCTCACCAATGGACTGTGTGATCATGGGCTGGTCGGAGAGCTTCTCCACGTCTCAGTTTCCTTTTCCTTTAGGCCAAGGTATGGGGTTAGACAAATGTTTTTCAAACTGTGCTTTCTGGAGGGGAAAAAAGATTCCACTGAATTGAAATAGAACATTTGAAAACCACTGGACTATATTCTAAGGCCCTTTCCAGCAATAACATTCTACTTAGCTGTTGTAGAAATAAATTATTTCTTCATAAATCTCATGGATCTGACTTTCAATGAGTAAACTGTTGTAGTTGCCTGGTGTGTTAATGCAAATTAGTGGTTTTTAGACTCTGTTCCCTGGAGCTACCCATCATTCTGTGGGGCATCTCCGTGGCTACTGAGGGGTCTCAGGGAGGTCATGGCAAGGATTCGAGACTCTCGGCCCTAGCCTTTAGTTGTGTAATTTTTGTAATGAGGATCCATATAAGCTTAATTTTTAAAAAAAATAGGGATTTTTGGTTTAAATCATTCTAGTTTTCATTCTTTCATCTTTTTGGGTTTGTTGCAAATGACTCTCTGACCAATGTGAACAGTACCTTAGGGCCAGTCTCAGAATGAACAACCCCGGGTCCTTTCAATGAGGTTTATAGAAATGGAAAACTCAGTACTTGTTCATTTGATTTGTGGCAGTGATTTGCAACGAAACAGTAATTGAAATCTCAAACCCCAAGTGATAATTCTCTTATCCAAAAGACCTTCATGTTTTAGCATTAGAGGAATAATTAATAAAATCAGGTATTCTGCTACTTTGGAGATGTCTGAAATGAAATATCGAATGTTTCTACCTCATTCGATAGCAAGTGAATTTGTGGACCAAAATTAAGAATCTTTTTCACTTATTTTGTCTTGAAAATAATCTGTTGCGGGGGTAAGGCTTTTGGGAATGGTTGCGGGGAAAGTGGCATGTGGTCTCCAGGAGAACAAGGGTGTAAGTGTTACCCTTGTTGAGAAACATTTGAAAATATAAATTTTTTTCTTTTTTTTCTTTTTTTAAGATTTTATTATTTGACAGAGAGAGACATAGCGAGAGAGGGAACACAAGCAGGGGGAGTGGGAGAGGGAGAAGCAGGCTTCCCGCAGAGCAGGGAGCCCGATGAGGGGCTCGATCCCAAGACCCGGGGATCATGACCTGAGCCAAAGGCAGACGCTTAACAACTGAGCCACTCAGGTGCCCCTAAATTTGTTTTTTCAAAATCATATTGTAAACTGTCCCCATTAGTAAAAAAGATGTAGCCTGACTTATATTTTATGCTCTGAAGATCTTCTGTATTTAAACTCTCAAGAGCAAATCTACTTCTCAACCTGACTCCCCTCTCCTTCAGTCCCTCCTCCACATACATAGAAGTTAGACCTAGACCTTCTTAGGATGTCCACTTTACTCTGGACAAGTTGTTCATCCTAATTTTGGAGGAACAGTGAGTAGAAAGCATTCAGTGATTGCATGTGTGAGGATTGTAAACAAAGTTTGTGTTGGGCCCTAATCTTCGCTGATGTAATTTTGGCTAGAGTGTCAGAAGGCCGATCAGCTGAAGTAACCAAAATCTCTCCTGAAGGAAAACAGATCTGCTACAATTAGCAGCTGAAGTGAAAATCATCAGTGTGTCTCTGGTATTTCTATCTTCTAAACCATAGCTTGAACAGATTTCCTTATTTCCAACCTAGACCACCAAGCAGAAATCTGCTGGGTTTTTCAGTGATGCCGCTGAGGTACTTTTTACTATACGTAAAGATTTCTTTTTCCCACTGAACATCTGGGCCCGTCCTAGCCTGTCAATTCATCTATGCCAAACTCTGTTGGACCTCACTCATTTGTTCTGGGCTCCAGCCATTCCCGTCTTGTAGTTGAGAAAAGCATGACCTTAAAATTTGGTCTCAAAAGTTCCTTTGTAGGATTTATCTATTTCCTGCTTTGGAGGCCTTTGCACACCAGAAATATTAGTTGCCATAGCAAAAGCATACTTTTGCACCAACTGATGAGTACATAAGGGCCTCCAACGCAGAAAAACCATTCTACATTAATGCATATGTTCTTGTGAAGATTCAGTACTTTTCCCGTCCATTTCCCCCAAGAAAGTTATTAAAAAGTTCAGAGATAAGGTATAAGAGTAGGAAACCTGATTTCCTATTCTTGTTTGATTTTTTTTCCTCCCGTGTTAATAATAGAGAAAATAAATAAGATTCTTTAATAGAAAAAAAAATCTCACGTACTCCGTAGAAGGTATCTTTAGTCAATGACTGCATGATGGGCTTCCATTTTCTTAGCCATCCTAATAGGAGGATCCTCACAGTCCACTTTGAGTGAGGCAAGTTACACATTTGGTAGGCTTACCATTCTGTCTCATAACGGTGTGTTGTTTTGGATTTCTATAGCAAGGTGCAGGCCCGAATAGCATTCTCTGCCTATCTCCAGCATGTTCAAATTCGCCTGATGAAAGACAGTGGAGGTCAAACGTTCAGTGCCAGTTGGGCTGCCAAAGAGGATGAACAGATGGTGAGGCTCTTCTTGTTGGAACCTTTTTACTTTCCCTGTTCCTTTCCTTCTCCTTCTCCTCCTCCTCTTCCTTCTTTCAACTAGGGTAAAGAGCAATATATTCTTCTGGTGAAAGAGTTGTTCCACACTATAGATTATAGATCTACTTTAATGTGAAGTAAATCTTTGATCTGGGGCCATGTTCATTACACTCTGTTGAGGGCATCAGTTTATTTCATCCTGAAAATGGAAATTGATTGCTCATTCGTCGTCAGGCCCTGTGCAAAGCCCTCAAAAAGAAGAACAATTTAGAGCCCTTTAACTCTTCGATTTTCCTGTTGCGTTAACTCTTTGACGTAGGTACTGTAATCCCCATTTTGCAGCTGAGGCAACAAAGACCTAGAGCACAGCTGTAATTTGCCCCTTGTCCCACAGCTTGTGTGTGGGGAGACTGAAACTTGAACTCACAGGTTACAGTTGTACATTATTTGCTCCTCTCTTGTTTCCATGCATCACAAGGCATTTGTTTTCTGTCCTGAGGGGATGGTGTTAACCCTGTGAAAGCACTTTATTGTAGGCCCTCGGAGAATGTACCATCTTCCATTTTAACGTTATTTCTCTACTAGTTGAAATTTTATAAAGTTCTTATTTCGATGACTGGAAACAAACTGTGTAATAATTTTTGCTGTGTATCGGTCATTTGAACATGCCTAGGATTTAGTATTCTAGCACGGTTTTTCTTTTTGAATTGGAATGACAGGGAACTTCATGCTCTTTGGTAAGGTCAACGCTTATAGAAGAAGCCACAGTCCTTCTATAGCCTTTTGACCACAGGGATCTGTCACCCACAAGAGGGGGACCTCTAAGTCTGAGAAAGGTGCGTCCTTTGTCCAACTCAGTGGTGACCCTACCATAATTTTCAGTTCTCCACGTACGAGAGGCATACGATGCCAGGCTTATTATAAAAAAACATGATGGAAATCCCAGAAAACAACTTGTGAATTTAAAGTAGCCAATACAACCCAGAGATAAAACCTTGTGTGTTGTGAATAATCCTTCAACCATCAGTGGAAAATGTTAGCTCTGCTCTTTCCAAGTGGAAAATTGAAACTGCCTTTTTGAGAGTCAGTTTGTCTGCTCCACTGTGAAAAAATAATGTTTTAACATAACAGCTTAAGCCACCCTATGGTAAAGACAGCAGAGTAGAATTGTGAAATCCAACCTCTGGTTATGAGGCTGTTCCTTCATGCTGGAGCAAATTGGCACCAAAGGACAATGAGCCAAAATCAAATTCAGGACTAAAAAAAGAGCTCAGAATAGAATAACCCTTGCAAGCGCTTGGAACTCACACAGGATTTCGGGTGGGGGGGTGTTTATGAGAATACTTAGGATCATCACCGCAAAACTTAATACCAGTTCTGTGCATTCCTGTTTGAAAATCTAGCTAGAGAGCAAACCCTAACCCATTCCCTGATGATTGTGGTGGCGGTCTTGTTGTTGAGGAAGGTAGGGGTAGAATTGTCTCCTCTGCCCCAAGTTAGGGTTAGAGATTCTTTATCATATAACTCACAGGAGGCACATCAATAGAAGATCCTCAAATCTATCATCTTAAAGCAATTTTATCGTGTTGTGGGGGTGTGGTGAGGGAAGGAACAGTTCTCTTTAAGGCCCATAGTCTCACAAAATCTCTCTTGGAAGCATTTGTCATACTGTGAATGATCTGATTGGTATCTGTTCAGATTTCAGAATCCTTTGCCCCATGCCAAGTGAGATGTACTCTTTGTACCACTTAATGACTTTTCTCTGTGGCCCCCAGCCCTCCCCTGCCAACTCCCTTTCCCATGGGGAAGGGAAAAAGAAGCCACCACCTCTCACATACAGAGTATTGGTTCTTTTCTTTTTCTTTAACACTAAACTTTTTAAATGAGCGGTTTCTATTCTTTATTACCCGTGCTCTTCTTAGTCTTTTCCTTCTGTTCCCTTCTCTACTGAAAGTGTTCTCTTGAAGTTATCTCACAATGGCCAGATCCAGGGTCTTGTCTTGGTCTTGGTCCTGGTCCTTTTCAGCTCTGGTCTCTTGGAAGCTTTTGACATAGGGCCTTTAATTCCCTTGGCTTCCATGACACTCTTTTCTCCTCGGGGTTTTTTTTGGTAAATTTCTGGTGTTTCTGCCATAGGTTTTTGTTTGGTTTTGTTTTGTTTCTGATTCTTCCTCCTCTTTCCTATCTCTAAATGAATATGAGTATTTCTGTATTCTTTCTCTTCCTTCTCACCCTTGATGATTTCATCTGCTCCCATGGTTTTAATTTCCACTATCTGTCCTTGAAAGCTACTTTCCCTAAGTAGCTTTCTCTGATCACCCTATTAGAAGTGGTATCTGCACTTTGATTTATTATACTACTATTTGCATGTGAGTTGTGGTACTTTTAGTTACTTCTTTAATATATAATTATTTGCATACATATTTATTGATTTTCTGATTGCCAGCTGATTGAGGGAAGAGTACATTTCTTTTGTTCTGTCTCTCTGTATCCTTCTTATGCCTAATGTTTTTGCTCTGGGTCTTATTTGTTGGAATGTATAGTGTACCTGTTCTCATATCTCTGTTGGGTAAACCCTTCATCGCCTGTCTTCTGTTGCTTAGCATAATCCCTGCTTCCCCCCTCCCCACCATGACTCTTAATAGGAGCTAGTGGTTCGCTTCCTTAAACGAGCGTCTAGTAACCTCCAGCACTCACTGAGGATGGTATTACCCAGTCGACGATTGGCACTTCTGGAACGCAGAAGAATCTTGGCCCACCAACTGGGTGATTTTATTATTGTATACAACAAGGTAGGTGGTTTATCTCTTACTCTTGTGTTTTAGATTGCCATACACTATTAGCAGCAAGCTAGAGGCCTGTGTCCAGCTGGGTGGAGAGGTCCTTCTCTTTTCTAGTGTTGTCAACCCTTGTGTGTAACTGTTACGGGGAGCTGGTCCTCACTCCTTAACCTAGCTGGTCTGAAAAGCTGCTAATTACTTCTGAAAGCCCAGTGGCCATAGTTAATGCTTATCAAAAAGCATATTCCCTCTGAGTGCTATTGTATCTGAGATGAATCCTGGACTATGTGAATTTGCATTGTCATTATTATGCCTTTAGACAGTGGTGAATTGACTATTTGAGAGCAAATTAACTGTGGATTTAATAGAATGACATAATTTTCTTTCCTGAAAGAGTTATACTTTGTATTTGAGAACATTTTAGATGGTGACATCATTTTACAACCAAGACCAGGAAATATACTACTTTGTTAGAATATTTTGCAAAGCATCTGATATCCAAAGGGTATTTGGGAGAAAAAAAGTACGGTCATTTTGCAGAAGGGAAAACTGAGGAGATTTAAATGGCATTTGTAAAGTTGTGTGGAATAATTAGTAGAATATCAATATACCAAATCAATAGCTTTGATTTACTCCAGATCTGTTGAGAATTTTGGTATGTCTTATATAAGTGAAGAATTTACTCAGTTTGGATGCTGTTAGAGGAGTACCTTCCAAGACCGATCTTTCCTTTCCCTAGTTGTAACAAAATACAGTATCTCTGTTGTCATACTGTTAAAGCTGCAAGGGTGAGCACAGATGTTACTAAGCTAAAAAGAACTATAAAGTTCTTTTTGAATGGGTTATGTGGGCAGAAAGTAAAAACATGATAAAAATTTACATTTATTCTGCAACTTTTATTTGGAAATTCCAAAATATTTTATGAAATAATGGCAGAGAATAATATATCAAATTTATAGGTGGCAAAAGTACATGGAGGAAGTAAGTGTCTTTACCATAAAGACAAATTAACCCAATGGTAATGAAACCAGATGGTGAAGTGTACATTTTTCAGGAGTCAGTTTTATCTTATTGTTTTCCTGTGTGGGTTGGGGACTGGGTAGGAAACAGAACAGTTGGCTGAAAAGAAATCGAAGAAGAAACTTGAAGAAGAAGAGGAAGATGGGGTGAATACAGAAAACTTTCAGGAGTTCATCAGACAAGCAAGGTAGAAGATATTCTTGATTAATAAAAACTGTCTTACTCTATCTGCCTGACTGCCCATTCAATTCTTAATATTTCCTTGTTTCTAACATATGGGATGTGAGTAAAATCACTCTCAGAATGAGAAAAAGAGTTTCATAGGCTTGGCCTCTCCATATTTCAGCCAATTATGTTGTTGTTGTCATGGTTTCAGTTATCAAAACACTGCTGCTGGGTATCTGGGCTGTATTTCTAGACAGCCTTCAAAGTACACACCACTTGAAGTGCTGAGAGAGCCCTTTGGAAAGTTGAAGTTAGAGGCTTTCAGTGTTTACTGGATCTGAATTTATCCCTGACCTACTGATGCAGTGGTGATGACCAAATTTTGCCTACATTGAGTGGGCTGAGGAATTGGCAGTTTCTCAGCACTGTGAGGGTTATGCCTAATTTATATAAAATAGAACAAGTCCTTCATGTGTAAAGTTAGCCTTTAAGGATTGAAAATCTCAGCATTCAGCTCTGTCTTGATATAAATCAGTCAGGCCATTTTGTCCATTGACGATATGTTTCCAAAGGAAGAGGTAACAAAGGCATTTCATTTAAAATTTTGTAAGACTCACACTGGAGGGCCTTTTCCTAAAACAGAGAGTCGTACAAAACTACTCAAAGGATAAAACATCTGTATCACCCCATTAATTAGTCTTCAACCATCAAAGTCACTGTGGAGAAAAGCAGGAGAAAATCGATTCTCTGTTGGTTTATGAAGTTTAAATCAGGTGGTGAGTTATCAGTCAGCAAGATAATATGATCTGTGTTTAAGACCTTGTACAGACCTAAGGATAGCCTCACTATCATGGGCTTAAAAACTCACAGCAAACAAAGACATCATTTTGTAGGAGTTTATAATCATGTAGTGTTACTTTGTTAACATTCTTGGGTCTTGAGTTATATGATTGATAATTCAGGTATAGAAGCAAAACAAGAAATGGTTTCTCATATCAACATTATAAAAATCGGAAAGAAAAACTAGAGTATGTTCAGAAAATCAGTCTACTTTAAAAGTTAAAAGATTAATATTCCATTCCTCCTAGGGATCTTCAAGATCCTTAAAATATAAAAAAAGAAAAGCCAATTTTTGAAAAGTGGTGTGTATTCCCTTACCAGGACTAACTGGATGCTAAAAATGAATTACATGTACTAAGACAAATGATACAGAGTTGGAGATAAAATATGCTGGAATGTATTTATTACTGTTGTACATTAAGTGTTGATTGTTGGAAATTTTCTGCTAGCATCGGCTCGTTTATTACATTTGGGGTGGTACCTGGATACCTCCATCGAGGTTGGTAAATGCAGATCCCTGCAGGAGTCAGGCAAGGAAACACAGATTATGAAGTGGGCAAAGATTAAGAGAAGAGGCGTCAAGCAGTTTGTATTTTGACCAACCTTAACCTTTCCCTTTCTGTGAAGGGCCAAGTAAAACACACAGACAGGCAGAGGCAATCACCCATTTGTAATCTCAGCTGCACGTGGATCTTTAATAGTTACTTGAGGTACTTTGTGGCATTTGGCTACTCTGGAGACTGTGGGGTTTACCCTGAGATTCATAGAAATGGTTTCCTAGGTTGTCATCACAGTATATTCTGAAGATGGGATATAGGTTTTTTGTGATAACGCAGGAATACTTTGCCTATTTAAAGGCCGCTCATCTGGAATACAGCCTGGCTCCAGGAAAAAAAAAATGCAGAAGGCCATTGAGAACCTCCCACAGGTGTTGAAAAATCCATGCATCATATGTTTACTGGAAGAATCCTGTGGGCCCTCATCAGATTCCTTATACTTTCCATTTTGTGGATGTTCATAAAGTGCATATAATTTTAATATCTGAAATGACCTAGAACCATCTCGTTCCATCTCCTTCATTGTATAGATGGTTAGGGAACTCTTCATATGGTTATGCTGGTAGGTTTCCTTATTTCTGACATAGGGAATTAAAATGACAAGGGTCTTCTTTAATGAGCACACTTCAGTTATCTGGAAGTGGGGGGCAAACTGTGAAGGGCCAGATAATAAATATTTCAGACTTTTGTAGGATACCTGTGATCTTCATAGCATATTCTTCTCTAAAAAGATAAAAACCATTTTTAGCAGGGAGCCATACAAGAATATGTTGCTCATCAGCTTGTCAGTTTTGACCCCATAAAGTTTGTAGTTTGTTGACCTCTGATATAGAACATGGCTATCCAGTAGAACTTTCTGTGTTGTAGCCACTGAGTACGTGAAATGTGGCTAGTCTAACTGAGAAGAATCTTTAAGTGTACTTAATTTTAATTCATTTAAACTGAAATAATCATATATGCCTTCTGGCTACCGTATTGGACAGTGCATCTCAAATATTCACTTTGGGATGAAGAAAGCCTTATCATGCTTTACTTTTTTTAGACTGCTTTGTTTGTATTCCTATTTAACCATCTATTAATAGGGAGTTTTCAGCTTGTACTTTTCATTTTCCCCTTCTCCAGCTGACTCCATTTCCAGAATAAAATCTGGTGGAAGGATTTTCCAGAACAGCTTCCTGTTCTGACCATACTCTCTCTCCTCGTTTCAGTGAGGCTGAACTGGAGGAGGTGTTGACTTTTTATACTCAAAAAAACAAGTCTGCAAGTGTCTTCCTGGGGACTCACTCAAAAAGTTCTAAAAACAGCAACAGTTATTCTGATAGCGGGGCAAAGGGTGGTAAGTATGATGGTTTATTAATGAAAAATAAGAAGAACAAGTGAAAAAATGAGACATGCCAAAGAGAGCCAAGAATCATGTGCTGCGTAAGCACTAACAGACTCCAAGATGGTGAAGTATTGCAATGTGGGGGTCGGGGCTGAAGAGGCATTCCATTTTTGTCCTCAGAACAAGAGGGACATGGTCTGATTTTTTTTTCACGAAAATTAACAGCAGAGAGCTTTTCAAGACGAGTTAATAATGGCTAACATTAAAGGGATTGCTTATATTACTATAATCTGCTGGATGTGATCTAATTTTTTTACTTTTAAAAACCATATGGAGTGGGTGCTATTATTCAACTTCTTTATACAGATGAGAAAACAGAAGCTGAAAGAGACAGAGTAACTTGCTCAAGGATCCCCCTCCACAGTGCAGTGGGACGGGAGTTTGAACCTTCGTCTGCCCAACTCAAAGCTTATGCTCTTAATCTGGGCTCTTCTGCCTTTCCTAATAGTTATTTCCCATTCTTTTTAAGTTTTTTGCTTCCTCTGGCTTAGCAGCATTGGCATTTGGGGTAGAAGAATTATTTGTTGCGTGGGACTCTTCCATACCTGGTGGGATATCTAATATCCTTAGTCCCACACCCTAAATGCCTTTAGCTTTCTTCAGTCACTGTGATGGCCGAGAATGTTCCCACGCATTTCTAAAAGAGCTCACTGCGGGGGAACAATGTGATTGGGGATTTTGGAATTAATGTGGACCGAACTTTCTAGCTCATGTCATATGATCAAAAAATAGCAGTGATGTTCTGTTATAAACAAAGCTTTGTGCCTTAAAGTAAGATTCATTTAAAATCTAGATGGGAAGTGTTAAGACATAGGAAATCTACACGAATTCTGTCAGTATGCTAAGCACTAAATTCAAAGACGGAGACTCGTTCCCTGCTGTTAAGACTACCATAGTCTAATGTGGAAATAGCGAGGATGATTGGTCATTTAAAATGTGGAGTGTTCCAAAGAAACAGTGTTAATGTTTTAAAAACTGTTTTGATTCAGAGGCTAGTCTACAAAAGCCTATTTATATTGAGCTCACTGTGTAATCGAATGATATGTCTAGAAGTCCCCAGCTTAGCCCTCTTCTCGGAGCTGTCCTAGCTTATCTGAGTTCTGAAGTTAGTTGATTCATCTGTTTATTCATTCCTTCTACACATTTTTCCTGAGCACCTGTTGTGTGTCAGACATTGTGATGGTTGCTAGGTATACCGTGACCAGGGCTGTCCTAGGACCTTGACTTCATAAGGTTTATTGTCTAGTAGATAGAATTGGGTGAGAAAATGTGGGAAGAAGGTTGGTAGAAGCTTTGAAAAGCTCCTATAACAGTGTTGAGGAAGAGAGGCTAAAGAGTTCTTATAATGAGGTTGGGGTAGAGAAAAGCACGTTAACCTAGAGAAGTGAGGGCCTACATTGGTGTTCAGATAAGTAACTTCTCCCCGGGGAAGCCCTGACAGTATGTCCTGACAGCATCTGTCTGTACAAATGGGTCCCTGAAAATTCTGGGGTTCATGTGTTAAGGATGACCTCTACGTAAGAACATCTATACCTATCTAGACCTAACAAGAATAACTAGAGAGGCAGTTGGAAGGCCCCAATCAAGGAAACAACATTTTGATATCTGATAGTATCTGGACTGAATTCAAACATGAGCAAACACATGTGTGACAGTTACCACCACTGCTGGTGGTGATGGACAGAAAATAATTCCTATATCCTTATTCTTTCATTCTGAAAGATGATATGTAAAATGGCCTTTCTTAAGTTTTTATATGAACTAGCCCTGAAAAAGATTTTGGAATATTTCTGCAAGTACATGATTAGCCCTGGCTGTCCTGTTTCAAAATCCTGTGGTAGGAAAAAAACTAGTTTATTAGAGTGGAATTTATTTTATCAGAGTGATTTTGTCATGAATATACTGATCACCCTATCGCAAGTAAACTCACTCAGCTTGCTCAAGTAAAACCAAGAAATTTACTTGAAGATACAGAGCTGCACTGCGTGTGCAGCCTGCTTAAGATTCTCTCTCTCTCTCTGCCCCTCTCCCCCCACCATGCTCATAAATAAATAAATAAATAAATAAATAAATAAATAAATAAATAAAAGCAAGAAAGATAGATACAGAGTTACTGTAGTATCCAGGTACCTTGCCAACAAATATTGGGACTGTTCTTTCTATCTCTTGGTTGTTGCACTGCTCCACGTGTATTATGATTTCTTTGCTCCAGTGGATACCACCAACCAGCTTGGTTTCTTAGTTTCCCTAGTTTGAATTCTTGGTAGAGGCATCTGACTACCCTTACTTACTATTTTTTATTATTTTTTTCTTTTCCAGGCATGTCCTAGCTTGTTGCCATCCATGGATGGCTGTCCTGGGTTTAAGTATTTTTCCCTGGTTCAGTTAGCTAGAGCTGGGGTTGGGGATGGTTGGGAATCTTTTGGTTGGTTGCCCACTCAACAGGGCTGTGAGTGTGGCCAGCCTTGGGAAAGTATGGTGGGGTATGCAATGTTCCTGGGATTAATTATGAGTTGTGTTATATTTTGGAAACAAAATTATATGTAGAGCATTTGATTAGTAGGAGAGCCTCAGCTCAGTATTTATTTTCTGTTTCAGATCACCCTGAGACGATGGAGGAAGTGAAAAAAAAGCAGCCCAAACAGCAGCAGGCCACAGAAATTCACTGTGATAAATTATCTCGTGAGTGACTTCAAACCTACATAGATTTGCCGCTCTCTGATAAATCCCTAAAAGGGGAGAAAAAAAGTCATCAGATAGTAAATGATTCTAAAGTGTAAGGCATTACCCCAAAGAAGTTCCTTTTCTTTGTTCTTTCTCTTCCCTTAGAATTTCCTTCTATTTACTGATAACCTATTTTCCTTCTGAGGAATTTTTCATTTTCTTAATATTTAGAAATTCTGAGCACTTTTTTTCCCCCCCAGAAGGGTGAAAAGCAGAGGGAGAGCAGTTAGCTGTCACTACCAGAAACTTTTGTCCTAACGCCCTCACGTTTGTAAAATGCCTGCTCTGGTTGATGGAGGTAGTCTCAACTTCAGCTTTTAGAAATTCTAGGACTGAAATAAACTGTTTCTGTTGCCAGGTTGTCTTGGTAGGCATAATTCGTTAAGTTCATGATGAACACTCATTAAAGTCTCTGTCTTTCATGATTTCTGTTTCGTGCTAAGATTATTTAGATGTTTAAAAATGTTTACTTTATGTTTTATAGAGATTATATGTCAGTTTTTCCTAAAATGATCTGTTTTATTTTGTTTTATTTTGTTTGTTTTTGTTTTAATAGGATTTACCACTTCAGCAGACAAAGAGGCTAAATTAGTCTGTACAGATTCTTCCTCCGCTTCTTTCTCTGGTCCTGTTGTTACTCTTCTGCAGAAAATTCCCAGTACCCACTTGTCATCTATTATTACAACCTCTGACCTCTCACCAGGGCCCGGCCACCATTCTTCTTTCTCTCAGATTCCTCCAGCTATCCCCAGCATGTCTCACCAGCCAACAGGTTTACTGAGCACAGCCCCTGACAGTGCCTCTCCCTCCATACATCCTGGGACACAGAACGCACCAAGCCCTGCTGGTCTGCCGCGCTGTCGATCAGGCAGTTACACCATTGGCCCCTTTTCCTCTTTCCAAAGTGCTGCCCACATCTATAGCCAGAAACTGTCTCGTCCCTCTTCAGCAAAGGCAGGTGAGTGTGAGAAAATGGAAGGCAGCCTGCAATGTCAGCTTCTCCCCAGCCCCCATAAAAGAAAAAAAAAAAAAAAAGAATGCCATCTCTTCCATTTTGCCCTTTCTTTTGAAAGGTAGAGGGACACATGCATTGTTCTGATGAGACTGAGGAAGAGTCTTGGATTTGGTCCAGTAGCATTCATCCATTAATACAAAATGAATCAGGGCCTCTTTGAGATGCTGGATAAAGGATGAATGACACCATTCTATTTAGTAGGAGCTTACAGTCTAGTCAGGAGATTTTTCCATCACAGATCATCATAGACCTACGAGTGTGCTATATACATTCTTTCTCATCCAAATAGTTATTTTTCAGTGTACTTCAAGTCAAGTATGACCTGAATAAATAACCAAAGAATTCTTAAAATAAGGTATCTAACTTTAAATGAAGTAAGTAGACCCATATTATCAGTGAAGTTTTTTTCCCCCATTTTTAAATACAATTTTATGGAGATAGAATTCATATACTGTGAAATTCACCACTTTAAAGTGTGCAATTCAGTGGTTTTTAGTATATTCACTAGTTGTGCAACCAGTACCACTATCTCTTATTTTAGAACATTCTCTTCATGCCCAAAGAAACCCCATACCTATTTGTAGTCACTGTCTGTTTCCTCCTTCCCCCAGCCCTGGCAACCACTAAACTACTTCCTGTCTGTATAGACTTGCCTATTCTGGACATTTTATGTAAGTGGAATCATAGAACTAGTGGCATTTTGTGAATGACTTATTTCACTTAGCAGAGTGTCTTTAAGGGTCATTTATGTTGGGGCGCCTGGGTGGCTCAGTTGGTTAAGCGACTGCCTTCGGCTCAGGTCATGATCCTGGAGTCCCGGGATTGAGTCCTGCATCGGGCTCCCTGCTCAGCGGGGAGTTTGCTTCTCCCTCTGACCCTCCCCCGTCTCATGTGCTCTCTCTCTCATTCTCTCTCTTTCAAATAAATAAATAAAATCTTAAAAAAAAAAAGGGCCATTTATGTAGTAGCATGTATCAGTATTTCATTCCCTTGTATGGCTGAACCTTTGTATGGCTGAAGAGTATTCTTTGGATGGATATACCATACTTTGTTTATCCATTTATCAGTTGATGGACATCTGGGTTGTTTTCACTCTGGGGCTATTATGAATATTGCTGCTATTAATGTTTGTGTACAAGTTTTTGTGTGGACCAATGTTCTCATTTCTCTTGGGTGTATACATAGGAGTGGAATCACTGGATCATATGGTAACTTCGTGCCTTTTTTTTTTTTTTGAGTAACTTCCAAACTGTTTTCAAAGTAACTACATCATTTTGCTTCCAGCAATGCATGACGGTTCCAGTTTTTCCACATCCTTGCCAGCCAACACTTAGTATTATCTGTCTTTCTGATTTTACTTATTCTAGTGGTTTGGAAGTAGTGTCTCATTTTTGTGGTTATCATTTGCATTTCCCTAATGACTAATGATGTTGAACATCTTTTCAGGTGCTTTTTGGCCATCAGTATGCCTTCTTTGGATAAATATTTATTCAAATCCTTTGCCTATTTTTAAATTGAGATATTTATTTTTTATTGTTACGTTCTTTATGTAGTCTGGATACAAGTCCCTTGTCGGATACATGATTTTGAAATATTTTCTCTCCTTCTGTTGGTCATCATTTCATGTTTTTGAAGCACAAAAGCTTTTAATTTTTTTTTAAAGATTTTATTTATTTATTTGAGAGAGAGAGAATGAGAGACAGAGAGCACGAGAGGGAAGAGGGTCAGAGGGAGAAGCAGACCCCCCGCTGAGCAGGGAGCCCGATGTGGGACTCGGTCCTGGGACTCCAAGATCATGACCTGAGCTGAAGGCAGTCGCTTAACCAACTGAGCCACCCAGGCGCCCAAAAAGCTTTTAATTTTGATGACATCCAATTTATCTGTTTTTCTTTTGTGCTTATGTTTTTGGTATCATATCTGAAAAATTACTGCCTAATCCAAGGTAACAAAAATTTATATGCATGTTTTTTTCTAAGAATTTTATAGTTTAGGCTCTTTCATTTAGGTCTTTTATCCATTTTGAATTTTTTATCCATTTTGTGTAGGATGTGGCATAAGGGTCTAACTTCATTCTTTTGCATGTGTGTATTCAGTTGTCCCAGCACCATTTGTTGAAACAGAGTATTATTTCCCTGTTGAATTGTCTTGGCATTCTTGTCAAAAATCATTTAATCATAAATGTAAGGGTTTATTCTGGAGTCTCATTTCTGTTCCACTGATTAACAGATATGTTTAGCCTTATGCCCATACCACATTGTCTTGAGTATTGTAGAATTGTAGTAGGTTTTGAAGTCACCAAGAGTGATTCTTCCAATTTCATTCCTTTTTTCCATATTGTTTAGACTATTCTGGATCCCTTGCATTTTCACATGAACTTTAGGATGAGCTTGTCAGTTTCTGCAGAAATAGGCAGATGGGATTTGGATAGGATTGTGTTAAATCTGTAGATTAGTTTGGTAAATACCTTACCATTAGTCAGGTTTTTAAACAGTTTAGTAATATCCATGTTAAGATGAGTTACAGCTAAGCTATGTTTTGTAAATAGTCAATTTATATTTCTTAATTAGTATCTGATTTCAAATGAAATGAATATTATAATATGCAGCTTGAATCAGAGATATTAAATGTATACTTTAATAAGTCATAACTATGAATATGGGCATGTATGTGTGTGCTAATTCTGAGTGGTTATTCTTGTGATTTAATCTTCTAAGATCTATAGTAATAATAATCAATAATGTTCTGGTTTGAACTGTTTTCTCCCATTTGAGAGAAATTCAGTAAGATCAATGTCTCCAATACCCTGTGTTAATCAAAACTTTATTTAAATAACTTTCATTTTTCACACTTTTCCCAGAGAGGGATAGGGAACAAAAGGAGCTAGTCAGTTCCAAAATATTTTTAAATTTCTGTTGTGATTTATCCTTTGACCCATGGATTATTTATAAGTATATTGTTTAATTTTCAGATAGTTGGCATTCTCTGCTTCTTGTAATTGTCTATTTCGCTTATTCCCATGGTGGTCAGAGAACACATTGTGAACGGCTTAAACAGTAGTATACAACAGTATAGTAAATGACAATAATAGCCTGCAAGTAATTTGAGTTTAATTTTTCTGTGGTTATTGAATAGTTTGAGAGTGAGTGTAGGATATGATTTAACTTCAGACTTTTTTTTTTTTAAAGATTTTATTTATTTATTTATTTGAGAGAGAGAGAATGAGAGACAGAGGGCATGAGAGGGAGGAGGGTCAGAAGGAAAAGCAGACTCCCTGCTGAGCAGGGAGCCCAATTGCGGGACTCGATCCCGGGACTCCAGGATCATGACCTGAGCCGAAGGCAGTCACTTAACTAACTGAGCCACCCAGGCGCCCCTTAACTTCAGACTTTTTAAAGATAAATACACAGTATGAAATTCCAAAGGTCCCCACCAAAAGAGTAAAAATGTGGAAATTCTAAATCTTTGGGAAGAAGAAAAATGGATGGAGCAGGAAGCTTAGAAAAAGCAAGAGAAATGAAACTTAAAAGATAGCAAACCAAGTCCTAATGTCAAGAATAAAATAAATATAAATGGGTTGAACTTGTTAGAAGAGTGTCAGGTTGAATTTTTTAAAAAATCCAACTGTGTGCTGTTTACCAGAGAGAGATACACCTAAAGAGAAGAACAAGGAGTGGTTGAAAATAAAAGGAGAAAGAAAGAAATGCCAGGTAAATACCAACCAGAAGGAACATGGTCTAGCTATATTAACATATGCTAAAATAGACTTTCAGATATAAAATTTTCTTATAGATACAGTAATTACATAAGACAAAAGGTAAAGGTTTAGTTCGGCAGAAAGATAAAACGGTTCTCAGTGCACCTAATAAAAATAACCTCCAAATATATAAAACAAAGATTGATACAAGTACATGAGGAGTCTATAAATCCACTGTCTTAGTGGGAGATTTCTACATACTTATATCAGGTACCAATAGACTAAACAGATTGTTTTAAGTCAGCAAAGATAAAGATGATTTGAACAAGTTGGTAAGCTTTATCAGTTGATCATGCATAGAACTGTGTACCCAATAATTAGAGAAAACACATTCTTAGGCATTCATAATATATTCATAAAACCAGTCATGTCCTACATCATAAAATAAGACAAATTTCACAGAATTGGCATCATACAGGCACATTCTCTGTCTACACTGCAATTAAATTGAATGGCAATAACAAAAAGTTACAGCATATAACAAATCCTCATGAATTTCAGGATTGAAAAGAGTCAAATACTGGGTGTTGTATGGAGGTGTTGAATCACTATATTGTATACCTGAAACTAATATTACAATGTATGTTAACTCACTGGAATTTAAATTAAAACCTAAAAAAAAAATAAAATAAAAAGAGTCAAAGAAGAACTCATAATGGAAATAAATGTAAAAGTATTAGAATGAAATGATAATGAGACAACTGTGGGTCCAAGCGTATGGAGAGCAATGAAAGGCAGTATGTGGAGGGAAATTTACTGCCTTAAAAACTTTCATTTGAAAGGAAGAAAGGCTGAAGATTAATTTCTAAGTATTTAATTTCAGACATTATAGAAACAAAACACCATAAATCTAAATAAAGAAAAAAATAATAAAGATAAGGGCAGAAAAATCAGCGAATTCAGAAATAAAGTACACTAGAGAATATCAAAGCCAAAAGTTCTTTGAAAACCCTAATAAGATGGACAAACCTTTGGTGAGACTGATCAAGAAGAGAGAAGACATGGAGAAATAATACGGGGGTGGGGATGGAAAACCTATAGAACATATAAATATTGCATAGGTGACAAAAAGAATTGTTAACTGTTTTTTTCCAATAAAACTGAAAACTTACAAAATGGACCAATACAAAAGTATAACTTACATAAAATTGACTCCAGAAGATGAAAGCCTCAACAGTCCTGTATTACGATAATTGAAACAATAGTTAAAAATCTCACAAAATTTGAGGCCCAGATAATTTTATAAGTAAGTTCTAACAATCTTTCAAGGGGCAGATAATTCCAATCTTAAACTCTTCTCGAGAATGGGAAAAGAAACAATACTCATCTGATTTTGAACACCTAGTTTAATCTTAATAACAAAACCAGTTGAGGATAGTATTAGGGAAATTAGAGACCAGCTTCATTTATGAACATAAATGCAAAAATTCTTATCAAAATATAAGACAGCCAAATCTAGCAACATATGAAAGAGATAGGACACCATAAACAAGTTTATCCTAGGAACACAGGAGGGCTTAACAGTAGAAAATGTATAAACAACATTTGCCATATCAACAAACTAAAGGAGAAGAACCATATTCATCTTAGTAGATGCAGAAAAAGAATTTGATAAAATTCCACACTCACTCATGATAAAGCTCTCAGCATAATAAGAAGAGAAGGAAACTCTTCTTGAGCTGAAAAAGGCTATCTGCCAAAATCCTACATGAGGTATCAGTGTAAATGGGGAAATGTTGAAAGAATTTTTTTTAACATTAAGAGCCATAAAAGGATGCCCACCAGTATTGCTTCTATTTAATGTTTTACCAGAACCAGCATAGTAAGACAAAAGAAAAGCATAAGGATCAAAAAGGAGGAAATAAAATTTGTTTATTTGCAGATAATACATTGCATAGAAAACTGAAAGTAATCTGCAGATACATTTTAGAAGTAATTATTTTAGCGGTATAGATGGCTATAAGATCAATATTAAAAATCAGCTTTTTCTGTATATTAGCAACAAAGAGCAATTTTTTTGTAGTGTGGTTAAATATATATAAAATTTACCATTTTAACTATTTTTAAGTGTTTTTATATTTCTTTTAAGTATGCTTAATTTCTTTTTTTATTATGTTTTTAAGTTTACAGTTTAGTTGCACTAAGTACATTCACATTGTTGTGTAACAGTCACCAAGAAAAAAATAAATTTAGGAATAAAATTTAGGGATAAATTTAGGAAAGAGGAAATTTTGTAAGGCTTTTTGAGGGACATTAGAGAAAACCTAAATAAAATAGATTAAATAGCTTATATGCATGGATGGAAAGAATCAGTGTCCTAAATGTTTCAGTTCTCATCACAGTGATCCCTAGATTCAATACAATTCCAACCAGAACCTCAATAGGTCTGTTGTTACACTTGACAAGCGCATTCTAAATGGCCAAGAATAGTGAGAACCTATGAAAGAACAAAAATAAAGTGGAGGAACAACAACAACAAAAAAGATATGATAACTAAGACAGTGTAGTATTTGTTATAGACAAATGGACCAATGGAAAAGAACAGGAAGTTAGAGACACACAGATAGGTGGAACTTTGATACATATCCAAGATGGCATTGTGCATAGTGGAAAAGGAGGGGTTTCTCAGTACATGGTACTGGGACGATTAGTTAATAATACAGAGAAAAAAAATGAAACTAGGTCACGGACTTACACTATGTATAAAATTAATTTCTGATGCAAAACTTAAAACTTCTGGGATAAAGTAGGGGCATCTGGTTGGCTCCGTTGGTTAAGCATCTGACTCTTGATTTAGGCCCAGGTCATGATATTGAGCCCTACATGGGGCTCTGCACTCAGCAGGGAGTCCTATGTGAGATTCTCTCCCGCCCCTGCCCCCCATGCTTGGGTGTGTGCACACACGCTCTCTTTCTCTCTAAAATAAATAAATCTTTAATAAACACTTCTGGGATAAAATAAACAAGATTATCTTTAAGATCGCATGGTATGGAGCCAGTGAAACACAAAAGCAAAACTCCCATAAATCACTAAGAAAAAACCCAATAGAAAAATGATCAGTGGTATCAGAAAAGAGGTAACACATGCTCAGCATCATAATTAATCAGTGAATGTAAATGGAGACTACAATGAGATTTTTACCCCCTTAGAAGTGAGAAAAATTAAGATACTTAACACTAAGTGTCGGAGGGGATGTAGATCAGTAGGAACTCTCATATTTTGCATGTGGGAGTGTAAAAAAATGCCACCTTGGTATTATCACATAAATTTGAAGATTTACCAACTCTATAATTCAACAGTCCCGTTCTTGGGCTTATACACAAGAGAGGTTCTTGCACATGTGCACCAGGAGATATTCAAGAGTGTTCACGGCTGCACTGTTTATAATAGCAATAAGCTTGAAATAACTAAACTAAAATATCCATTGATGGGGGAAGAGAAAAATAATTTGTAGTGTATTTGCAAAATGGAATACCAAGCAGCGGATAAATTAATGCATTTTAAGCTATGCTTAGCAAGGATGAATCTTGAAAGTATGGTATTGAATGACAAGAACAAATCTCAGGAACCTACTACAGTAAGATACCGCTTTTGTAGAGCTCAAAACCAAGCAAAATTATCTAGTATTTTGTTTATGCATACCCACACAAATACATTATTGATGATATTTTTAAAAAGGAAGGGAATGAATGATAAGGGGAAATAAGGGATGTCTCAAGAGGAGCACATAGTTGATGCATATTAATTGGTAATGTGGTTTTGATTTGGGTAGTAAGTTCACTGGTTCATGATAGTATTATTTATAACTTACACACCTGTTATAAAATTTTCTATGTATCGCACAATAAACATGAAAGAGTTACCGATTTTTTTAAAGCAGTATCACCGGATTGTGTATACCAAATGATCACAGTTATATAAGCATTAATAAGACAGAAAGGAAACATGTTATAGTGTTTTCTGGGTTTAAAATTTTTTTTTTCAGTGAGATGTATGACTCCATCATAGAAAAAATATGAACCTTGATTTTATATTAATTTCTTTTTGCCAGAATTTTAGTGCTCAAAAATAATAGAACTCTCCGATATTACAGTTGGAAGAAGAACATTTAAATCTGAAAGGAAGATGAGTCATTTCATCAATCTAAGATTATTGCTGTTTTTCTAATTAGGCTGTTTTGCTTTGATCTGTTTTCCCTTTTGAGCTTGGTAAGATGGATTGTGGCTTATTTGGCAGTAGATGCCATAGGCTCATTACAAGAAAAATAAGAATTATAATAAGTTTTAAAACTACACTTTTTTATTCATTAAAATTAGTAAATTCTACGAATTGTTGTTACCCACTGCATATGATGAAATTTTTGTGTACGTGAAGCTTTCATAGTAAACAAAAACATGTTAATAAATGCTTGTAACAAGTTGTCAGAGATCCCTGGGATTCAGTAAAGTATCTGTTGGCTGAGATTTCTCTGTCATCACCCTAAGTTTTTCAGGGCTTTTTTTCCTAAGTGGATAAAAACTTTTCTCTTTTTTTTTTAGCAGGTTCATGCCATCCGAACAAGCTGCACTCGGGAATGGCTAAACCACAAAGAGAGGGAGAGGATGGTTCTCCGTACAGCAGATGGTATAACCCAAGCATGGTCACGGCTGAGCTCCAGCGGCTGGCTGAGAAGCAGGCAGCCAGGCAGTATTCCCCATCTACCCACATCAGTCTCCTCGCCCAGCAGGTACGGACAGTTGTGGGACCAAAGAGCTCTTTGGTCCCGAGGATCTTACTAAGGACAGGGTAATCTGTCCTTCCCTGCCTTTGCTCATTTCCTGTATGCTGATGCTTGTTGAAGGAGTATTAGTTGGTGTGAGCTAAAGAAGGAGAGTGTTCCTCTTCGTCTTTAAAGAAAATGAGCTTCTGTTACAGGTATTCCAAAGTTAAGTCGCTACTAACTCTGATGTATTTATTGCATGGATAAACAGACTTGAACGTTCAGCTGTCAAATAGACTTTTAAAGGATCTTTAAAAATAACTTCTTTCTTTGGTAAAATTTTCCAGTGAGTTCGTCTTAGAAATCTTTTTACCAGAATGCCGTAACATTACCATTTACTTTTTTTTTCTTTTTTTAAACTATACTCATCTCTTGCTCTCAGGACATTTTATGGCTACTGACTAGTAAAGCATTTCAATACACCTTTAGTCAACACATGTCATTCTCCCCATTTTACAGATGGGGGAAACTGAGGCTGAAAGAAGTGATATAATCAACGTCATTCAGGAAGCTGAATACATGGAAGTGGATACCACAATTTTGACCTTAAGTTATAGATGTAATAACAAGCTTACAACCAATGAAGTTATATGAAACTTTCACAAGAATTTTGGGATTGTTTTTGCCCTCCTTGCTGATTATCCCCATGGTATTTAACTAGAAGTAGAAGCCCCTTTCCTTTATGCAAAATGGCATTGAAGTCCCCCAAAGAAATTATTATAATTTAACTCCACAGTTACATTTTGCTATATCTCTGGTGCATCAGAATCTTAATTAGCGGCAACTCTGTAATGATTATCAAGTCTAGAAAAAAGCGAAGCTGAAAATTACTTCGAGCACGTGTTAAAAATAGGCAACACACTGCTCCCTGGTGGTGCCCTGCTTCTCTGTATAAAATTTAGAACCAAAATTAAAAATAAGCTTTAGCTTTACTTCAGCCTCATCCCGGTGTGTGAGGCTGTAATGAATTTTCTTTTTCAAAGCTCTAATCATTTGAAGGGAGGTGAGGATGCCTGATTTGAAATAGGAAGCAAAATATCTTATAAGGGCAGTTTTGAGACTTGAGGGGGGTGGGCGAGTTAAATTTTACAGATGGAGTGATAGGAAGATGGTACTAGAATGTCATGACCATGGTAGAATAGGAAGGAATTTTGAAATGTGAAGTGGTTGTGAAGAAGGGAGAGGGCCAGTGATCCGCTACCCGTTTTTCACTAGGTCACTGACAAGAGTGTATGTTTCTAGCTTATAAATGAGCAGCTAGAAGCACCAAGACATTAGGAAATTTTCTTTGCAGTCATAGTAAAAAACATAGCCAATGTTAGTGTTTACATATTTTCAGCTTCTGTCATTTGGTAAGCTGCAAAGCTTGCAAAATGACAAGATTCTGATCCTGTGGGACTCCAGGGTGATTGTATCCTAATGGGAAAGTCGTTTCCTTCAGTCCATCTTTCTTGTCGAAGGAGAACTTCAGTGCCAGAGAATTAAAAGTCCATCAGACTCCTGTACGTAGGGATCTGAACTTGCCGTTAGATGTCAGTCTTAACTTTTAGAGTCTGGTAAAAGGGTGGCTGGTGCTTGGTACAGTACTGAGGGAGGGGCTGTGGTATGTAATAAGCAGAGTGGGGTGGTGGAAAGCGAGCTGGACTAGCCATCTGTAGATGTGTCTTCTGCCCCCACGGACCAGCTATGTGATCTCGGACAGTTCACTCAACTTTCAGCCTCAGGGTTTTTGTTTGTTGATGGGGTAAATACAGTAGGCTCCTGAGGATAGTATGCAAAAACTACTTTGTAAAGTCTAAATGCCATATATTTGGAAAATATTGGTATTTCAGCCATAAAAGGCTTTCAGGAAGAAATTATTTCTAATTTGATTTGAAAAAGTAGTTTTTAGGTAAAATATAGTGTTACCAAAATGAACTTGGTTATTGAAAAGCTCAATTGTATGTTATCTGGCTCCTTCCCCTTGGAGCAAGTAATTCCTTAATTTGGAATTTGGAAAATTCTTTTATTCTTCTTCTAGTAAATAATAACCTGTTACAATGGCTTCATATGTGCTCTGGCCCATGTGTTTGCTAGTGGGGGTGCAGACTCAAAGTGGGGGCAGCTCTGCCCTTCTCTCTCAGCTTGGGCTGTGAAACCTTCAAGGCGGCTTCATCAGAAGCAGCTTTGTGTTCAGTAATTACTTCAAATGCTTTTTAATTCCTCATACCTGTGATTATTTCCTTACTTCCAATTCCTATTTTGTGTTTGTGTCTGTCCTTCCTTCCTTCCTTCCTTCCTTCCTTCCTTCTTTCTGCTTCCCTTTTTTTGGTAAGATAATTCTGGATAAATTTATTCATTCTATTGTTTTAATGTTTCTAATTGGTTGTTTTGTTTTGTCTTTACTAATTGCCTTCCTTCTGCTTTTGCTAGCTTTATTTTGTTTCCTCCCAGTCTCTTAAGTAGGATACTTACTTTCATTCACTCTTGTCACTGTATTTAAAGCTACGAATTTTCCTCTCAGTATTGCTTTCATCATAGCCCATAAACTCCTATGTATCTTTACATTGCTTCTCTGGGTAAGGTGTTAAGAGACCTGCCACTACATAAGGAACACAGATTTTTTAATGATTTGTGTTTTGGAAGATGAGTATAAAAAATTGAAATCCTTGGGTCCGTTTTTGAAAAATCATTTTATTTTGTCTATAATTTCAACTGCTTACCCCATTAAAGCTTTTAGTGGCATTTTTCATAAAACTTTTAATTCAAATGTGTTTTTTTAATTTATTCATTCAAAAACATTTTATTAAGCTCTTAGGAATGTTCCAGGCTTTGGTAGTAAGCCATGGGGATGATATAAGACATAGTCCTTGGCATGGAATAACTCACAATCTGGTAAGGGTGACAGCCACATAAACACATGATAGTACTAGCATGGAATATGCACGGAAGAGATATTTCTAGGGAATAACAGAAGTATCAAAGGGGGTAATACCTAGCCCAGCCTGTATATGGGAGTGAGAAGGCCAGAGCAGCCTTCTTGGAAGAGATTCTCTCGACACTAAATCTGAAATGTAGGCAAGTGGATGGCAGAAGGGTGAGAGCAGGGTCCAGGCTAACAGCTAGCCTGTGTGTGGGGTAGGGAAACAGTAGGCTGGTTAGTGGTATTGGAGGACGGGGACTCAGCAGAGAGCAGCTAGGATGGAAGCTGGAAGAGAAGACAAAGGCTGTTTAAGGAAAGCTTTCTCTGTGAAGGGACTCACCTTCATCCCATAGATGACGGCGGGGAGGGGAGAGGGGCACAGAGATACACTTGGCTTTGCCTTTTAGCCTGGTCGCTCAGGTAGCTGGAGGAGGGTGGGTTGGAGGGTGAGGCAGTGTCACCCCATTTCCTTCCTGCTCACTTGTGAAGATGCCCAGGAACAGTGAGCTAGCCAGAAGTAAAGAAGCAGAGTGCTCTGACAACCCCAAAATGTTATAATAAAACTTGGAGGTACCCAGAATTTACATTAGAGGCTAAATTGTTATGGATTTGCATGGCTAAGAACAGAACCTCATTTAGGCTGTGATGACTTTCACTACTTCTGTTATGGTTTAACTTTCTTTATAGCCTACAAAACACGAGAACATCAAACTTTCCTTGCCACACGAAGTGGCCACAATAGCCACTTCAGCAATGTTCGTGCCGGCATGCGGACGCTTGGAATAATGCTTGAAAGAGATACATGTTCTTAGTGGGGCTCATTCAACAAGTACCCTACAAACCTGAGCAGAGAGCAGGTCAAATTTAGTTTCCCCTTGGCACACGAGAGGCTGGCTGACCTTTGGGGAGGGGGTTCTTTGGAACCAGTGTGTGCATCCCTGAATGCAGGGTTTTCTGGGAGCATCTTTCGTCTGTGGTAGGGAGCGCTGTGGTAGCTGACAGGGCGCTGGAGTTGAGCTTCAGTCTCACTATCTCAGTGCCGGGAGAGGTGTGCGTTACCACTGCAGCCCTCTGCACAGACGTTGCCCTTTGTGGTTACTGTTGTTAGTGAGCAGAAGAGTGTGGCCAAGGAGCCCAGCTCTGTGGTGAGGAGTGGGAGGCCGCGACTCACAGGGAGCACCAGCCCTCTCTGTGCGGGCGAGTGTGAGATTTCAGGACCCAGCTATCATTAGGAGCAGCTCCAGCTCTTCCAGCCTGGGAGTTTAATCAAAGGAATAACAGCAGACCACCCAGGCGAGGGCTCCAAAGCGAACGAATGTGCTGTGTCAGTCTCTTTCCCCCAGCCAGCCAGTGCCCGGGATGTGGCCAGGCCTCCTGGAAATGTGCTGACAGATACATAGGAGGGAGGAGACACTTTCTGCTTCTCACATTTTTCATGTAGATGGAGAGTGGAAAAGAAAACCATTCAATTTCTTTCATTTTTTTGCTCCTTACCCTGGTACTTCTCTAGAGCAGTTCTAGAGAAGGGTATATGCTGACATGTAGAATGTTTGGTTTCCACCAGCTACTCATTCCTCTCACTCATTCATATATGGAGGAATTCTCTATCATTTCTTCTGCTTCAGAAGCTGCCAAGGTGGACCTTGAGTGAATTTTGCTTTCAGAATTTCCACTTTGAAGATGAAACTGGCAGAGAGGGGGCTGAATTTCTGAAATGATGACGAATGTTCTCCAGAACTGAGGCGGATGGCACCCGGCTTATCACATGCTTGGCTGTTTGGGAACTCTCCTCCTGCCTCCTTAGCGTGCCCAGACACATTTCAACTCTTGTACATTTATGTTCTGATTTGGTGGTGCTTTTCCAAGTCTAGCTCCTTTGGTCCTATATTCTTTCTGGGTAGAAAAAGTTACACTTCTTTGTATCATATATATTACTCTTTCCCATTTCTAGAAACAGAAAGGATAAATGGAAAAAACAGTAGTTCTTAAGTCAGTGAGACCTTGGAGAAGTTACTTAACCTCCCTGTGCCTTGATTTCCTTCTCTGTAAAATGGGGTAATTTTAG